ATGTGCAGAAAAATATGCTTTGTCCTCACCCTGTGGTTATATGTAGAATAGGTACAATAGGGAATAACGTGATCTTGAAAATTTATAACCAGATAAGACCAAAAATACATTTGCGAAGAATACATGGCTAGGACTCAATCACCAATCTCTCCCTCCATATGTAAAACATGAACAACTCCCTAACAGTTGCTAAGGATATAGAAGCTATATCAATCATACATATCAAGACTTGAGAGGCCCACTATAATGGGGATATATGAATCATAGAGAAGGAATATGAATTATTATGAACCTGGCAGGAACAGTTCATAAGGTGAAAAGCTATTTAAACAGCCAGTAAACACTGTAATAGCAGGAACCAGTGCATCGAGCATAATCCATTGGCCATCACTACTGTCTCAGCAGCTGATATACTTTGTGTTTCCTGTATTAATATGAGAAGAGAATAGTAGGGAAAGAAAACTCAGCTGGATTCTGATTCGAAAATGTTCTAGAAACAGATGGTAGTGGTGCTGCAGACAGTCTAGTTTACTGTGCAATGGTGGTTAAACAGTCAGCTGAGGTGGGGGAAATAACACAGACTATTATTTGCAGTGGTTACTATATAGTGGTGTATTAAGATTTATTGGGGTTCTGAGCAAACAGAAAATTGGAGGCCCCCCACACCCCATTATGAACATTAATTCATTAAAAAACGCTGCACCACCATTTTTAAGTGCAGGGATGCTGATGCATGAGATGCTGTGAGTGGCTCTCAGAGCTGCTCTAATTAAAGTGCCCCCCCGACCCCTGGAGCACATGTCAGAGTACCAAGGGGCAGCTGCCTGAGTCTGCTCAGCGGTGTTGAGGCGGAAGGTGAGCTTTCCTGGCTGCCCAGTGCTAGGTGGTTTCTGGGCCAGGTTCCCCGCTCTCCTCCCTCTGCCCAGGGCAGGGCCACAGGCTTATTCCAGGCCTGGAGAAACCAGGCCACTCGATGCAGCCGGGCCCCAGGTCCCAGGAGCTGGACTCCAGCAGGGGGACGGGCTCCTTCCCCTCTTGGTGCTGCCGCTGCCAAGGGCAGGGAGGATGGACGTGGCCAGGCTGGGGGTGGGGTGGCATGTACCCAAGTTTCCTTCCTGCTTCCTGTGTCCCTGCCATGGCCAGAGCAGAGCCAAGGGCAGTGCCCGCCCTGGGCTTGGGGCATAGGCGACGGGTGCCAGCTTAGTCAGGGGGGCACATGCCCCCCCCCAGCGACCAGTCAGTGACCAGGGGGAGTCGCCCTGCAGCCAGTCTCACCAGTGGGTGGGTCCCCCTGCGGCTGATCACAAGGCAGCTGACTGCTGTGGCCACTTCCAGAAGGCACTCGCAGGGCGGGCACTAATGCTCCTGCCTGCCTGTCACCTAAGCGGTGAGCACAGCATGTCAGGGGGTGCACATGCACCCCCTATGCATTGGCACTGGCTTGGGATCTTGGCTTTGCTGCTTTTGCCCTAGGAGCCCTGTGCTGGCCGCATGCTCCCTGCCTGCCTGGCAGCAGGAGGCACAACTCCCCACCCCCATTGCTGCTGGGTGGGCAGGGGGGATGTGGCTGGTGCGGGGTTCCTAAGGGAAAGGCAGGAGAGCAGAGAGCCCTGAGCCCACAGTGAGCAGCCTGCATCTGCCCTGTGCACAAATATGGAGGGGCATATGGCCCCCCTCCCCCAGGGGGTGCACGCAGTGGTAAGGAGATGCCCTACCCACACCTCCTGAACGAGGGCTCTGTCCTGCTTCTCGCCCCAGCCCTGGATCCCATGCACTGCCCCAGCAGGGCAGCACCCCCAGCCCCTGCCCCATCCCTCCCTTACCGTGGACACCTCAAGCGGAAACCCACCATTTCCTCAGGGAAGCCAGACACCCAGGGGGCCCCTGACTGGCAGAGGCCCGTGCATAAATCCGCCTCTGTGACTATATAAACTGATGGTACATGTTTAACTTTGAATGTGATACTCGGTTTCTGTTGCTTCATCTTAAGAAGAACACAAAGTTTCCAGAGAAGGGCAATAAAAATGGCAAGAGACTCTTGTGCAGTAGATTCAAAAGGCTAGGAGAAATGGGGTGCTATATTCCAGTCCCTGAAATATAGAGCCCCTTTGGTAACCTTTGTCCCAGGCTCAACCTTTAACAAGCTGTGGGCCAGAACAACTTGGTTCTTGTCTGATGTGGGCTAAGTGGTTTCAGTGGTGAATCAGCAGCAGGGCAGCTTTCCCTGTGCCCATGCTGGGGCCAGGCAGCTGTGCTGCACCACCACTTCCCCCAGCCCCCAGCTCTTCCAGCTACTGGGGAGTTGCACACAGCTGCAAACTGTGCCTGTACTGCTGCCTCTTCTCCTCACTAACCCCTGCCTCTTGGCTGCAGCACAAGCACACCTGGAAGCTGCCTGGCCCTGGTGCAGCTCCCTGTTAACGGGAAGCTGCACTCACACTGCAGCTGTGGGAGGGGGAGAGGCACGGAGAAGCCACGGCAGCACAGACACAGCTACTTGCTGCCCAGTGCTACATGGTGCAGGCACTTGCAAAGCCCTCCAGCTCTGCAGACTAGACCTAGTGGCTCTGTGGGCTGTATGTTGCTGACCTCTGGTATATTTTTCAGGAATTTCATATCCGGATCAGAGTAAAAGGTCCATCTGATCCAGTATTCCCTCTCTGACACTGGCAGGCCCTCAAGGCTTTGGAGGAAGGTACAACATTAAGCAGATGTGGGATTGTCTGCTTCTCACATTAGGTCTTCTCTTAAGCCCTAATAGCTGATATTAGTTCAATCCGAAAAACATGCAGTTTGTATCAGAGTTCGTGTCATGCATTCTTACACCTAATACTATAAACCTGTGATGCTGTTTGGATATTACTGAAATAAAAACAATATTAATTCAATTAACTAACAGAGAAGCAATAGTAATCTGTGTAATGAAAGCCAATTAGCTAATGTGTTCCCATAACAATGAGTCAAAAGCAAGAGATATAAAATGAACTATTATTTTGAGGCATATACTAGGGAGCCTCATTACAAACTTGGGCTCTTAGTCATGGAAGACCTCTGGCTTGGCTTTAATGGGGCTCTGTGTAGATGCAGAGATCCACTCAAGAATTAGCTTGCAGGTCTGGAGGCTTGATTACCATGGTTTGAACCGTGTCCCGCACTCCAGATAAAGAATAACACAATCGTTGTAGTAAATTTACCTGGCTTGTATGATCACTAGGACATGGACCATATTGCAGTTATATTTTTGTACATAAAACAATGGGTCTGGAGCCTTTAGGACTGGTGCAATGAAGTACCATATGTTCTTATGTTCTTGCATACAGCACTCCCCAGAATATAATACATACCTTGTTTTTGAAAGGAAGAATGAAGTTGGGGGAAAAAGATTTCTTCAGAGTTATGGCTGCATAGATCAGGGACAGAGCTTAATCTTCACTTTAATTTCACCTTCCCTTTCTTGCCTAACTACAGCTGAAACCCTAGCTGCTGCTGAAGACTGGTCTCCATAGATAGATATATGATCTTGAAAAGAACTAAAAATCTCCAGGGCTGGGAAATAAGGAGAGAGACCAGTCAATAGCAAAAGTGGCCTCAGAAAAGTTAGCTTGATTGATGGAACATGAAGACCGTTAAAAAAGAGAGAGGATGTTAACACCTAAGAAATGAAGAACAAAAAGCCATGAAGTGAATTGATTCCCTCAGCTGCCCAAATAGTAATGCTACAGGTGCTGCACAGTGGAGAAGGAATCAAAGCAGGGTGCTTCTATCCTGGGTAGAAAATCAGCTTTCTTGTTTAATGCATACACCCCAACTTAGTGGGCAGATTTTTTGGAAAAAGGTGTGTTGTATGGGAAGAAATATGCAAGCTAATAGATTAAAGGAGTGTGCATGGTAAATAGTGTTGGCCAGATGGTGCTGTTCTGATTCTGCCCCAAGTTGCGGTGGTGATATGGACCCACCAACCCAGGCAGAACTCAGGTGAATGCCAGTGTTTCCAGGAGGCAGCATCCTTGTTTGAACTTCCCATCATGGAGTGCACCTGTACAGCCTGTTCCCATGTAGACCTGCTCTTCTCTGCATGTGTGTATGCAGAGGAAAGTGGCTCAATCCCCTTTATATGCCTTCCCCATTTGCACTGAAGTCAATAGAAAAGCTCCCTAAGATCAAACAGAATCAGGCTCTCAGACTAAGGTAAGGTAGGTATAAAGAACATGGTTAATAATAAAAGGACAAATGGTTATTTACTAAAAGTGTTTTATATCAAAAGCATATAACTTTCAAAAAATTACAAGTTTTTTTAAAAAATCCTCAAAACAAACACAATGAACACAAATAACTGCTACATTCTGCATTCAAAATGGAGGGAGGGGACAGGACAAGGTGAGCAAATGAGAAAGATCAAATTCACCACTTGAAATGGTAGGTATATCTTTCTATTGATCTTCAAATTATTCTTTTCAGATATTGCTTGATAGTGTTTCCCTAGGATAATATCTCTAGATATCTCTAGATACAGGACAATAAAATGAGATTTAGTGTACTAGTCCTTGTGCCATATTCTCCCAAAACGGAGTAGCATGAGAATATATACATACAGGGTACATCTAACAAGACACTGTCACCACAGCGACAAGCTACAGCGACATAGTTCATTGGTACAGTGACGTAGTGTCAACAGGCACAAACCATGACTCTGACGCTACTGCACAGTAGCAACAAGCCTATGCACAGTAGCATTGGAAACGACCCATGTAGCACAGGGACTGCTCAGTAACACCTGCACAGTCCAGTGCACATGTAGAAAAGAGGGGTTTTGTGGAATCAAAAAATGAAATGAGGAAGAGGATTTGGATTAGAATTCTGCAAATTATTGTTGTATGAAAACTGAACAGAAAAAAGACTTACACAATGGGGAAATACTTACACAATGGGGAACTCCTTACTCGAGAGCACGGAG